TTTTTATATAAATTTAAACAAAAAATAATACTACAGAAACTTTTTGTCAACAACTTTTTCTTCTATGTTGCGGCTATATGTTAGATCCTCTTTAAAAATATATATTTTTCTTCTTATTTCAAAATTTATAAAAAGGAAACAAAAAAAAACTAAATAATATATTATTTTATTTTTTTTTTTTTTTTTATCTATCCCTTGCATGGCTATTTATTTTCCACATACCTATTAATTTTTTTATTCTCAAAAATGTTAATAATTATTTTTATTAACCAACATGCAATCGCTAGATAAAAAAAAAAAAAGTTTAGTTGATAATTTTTTTTGTTTATTTTTTATAAATTAAATATTTTAAAAAGGTATTTATTTTTTTTTGAAAAAAAATAAAGGAGTAAAATAATGGAAAAAGTGGTTGAAAAATATAGTTCATTAAAAAAGGAGTTTTTTTTTGTAGTGAACTTTTGTTTTGAATTAGTATGAGAAAATTTTATATACCTAATCATAAAATTTTCATATTTGCAATATTTATATAATTTAATTTGCGTCTCATTAATTACTTATATTTTTTACCTTGGAAGCAGCGGATTTAAGTAGCTAAATATTATTGATAATATTATAAGTAAAATACAATTAATTAAAAATCATTTGATCAACGAAGATTTAAATTGTAAATAATAATAGGGATTTATATTAAAGCGAATAAATGACTCTTGAAAATAAAGAATTATCAACTAAGTAAACTACATAAATATAGTTTACTTGTTTTATAGTATTTAAAATACATAAATTTATTAAATTAATTAAGATAGCACTACATACTCTTTATTAATTTGTTTGTTAAATACTTTAGTAAATCCATTGAAGAGGCAATTAATAAATCATATGGTTTAATACTTATTTTCCATGTAGCTATTACTTTTTATTCTCAAAAAGGTTAGTAATATCTTTTATTAACCAATTATCTGCATTATTCAAAAAGGTTAATATTGTGCTTTATTGACCAATATCTAAAAATTTTAATAACATTCTCTGTTGAAAATCATTCACATATTTTAGATTTAATAAATTCATTGCCTTTCTTTACGTTGAATTCTCACGATAAATAGAATTAAATTATGACCATCATAATTTTTATATTCCCCTATTGTAGAACTTAAGAGGGAATGATAAAGAAATTTGTCATTTGTTTCTAAATTTATTTGTTATATTTTTTTCACACATTTTTAGGATAAAATAGGAAGTTAAACTCTGCTATCAGTAAAATATTATATTTATATACTCCATTATTTATAACTTTACCATAATTTAAAAAAAAACGTATAGCAATTTATTTAATAAACATAAATATTTTTATTTAATATTTTTATTTTTCAAAGTAGAGAAATAATATATTAATAACTTATCACTTTGAGTTTCAAAAAAATGAATTTTTATCTAAATCCACTAAGATTCAAGTATGTTCAAATTTTGTAAATCAACATATACATTATAAATGCTAATATATTTATCTTTTATTATAATTTTTAATAGCATCTTTAAATCATAGAAAAAGTGTAATAATCCTTTTATTATTCAAATAATGGGAAAATTCTATTAATAATTAATAAAAGATATTGTTAAAGTTTTTGAAAAAAAGGCTAATGTCTGTACGGAACATATAATGTTAGCTATAAATATTTTCTAGTTTAAAAAAAAAAAAGTTATTTCTATTTCATATATTTTGATAGACATTTTTTATCGTTAAAATATTTTATATTTTGGGCAATAAAAATTTTTGTTGTAAACAAGTTAATATAATTTTAGTTAAGTTTTAATTCTTACATGTTGTCATTTGTTCAAAATAAATGAAAGTAAATTTGTAAATAATTATTCATAAAAACATTATTTAAAGATTTTCACTTTAAATCAATAATTTAAGAGGATTTAAGTTTTTTGTAAAAATAGAAGATTTTTATTGAAGTGCCTATTAAAAACAGTAAATACTAATAAAGTAAATAGTGTATATAAAATTTACCAGTTTATACCATTAACATTATTTTTATAATATTTAAATTAATAGAAGCAATTATATATGTTCTTTATTAGCCTGTCTATCAATACTATAGTAAAGAATTTGAACAGGAAATTAATAAATCAAGCATTGAGCAATATAATTAATATAGTGAATGCAAAGTAGCTTCTACTAATTTTAGTGGTAAAAATTATATTAACTCTTCAAATGAATAAATTTATACATGTATTTTACATAACTAAATACTTATTGTTCTAGAATCCTCTATTTAAAAAAAAATATTATCATTATTTTTATTAAAAACGTAAAACCTCATTAAAATTATAGATAATACGTAAAATAATCTTTGAAATAAACTAACAATTTTAAGCTACAGTTATTAAAGGTCTTTCGGTAATACATTAAAATTAAATATTAATAAAAAAGAAATATTTTTTTTTTTGCAATTAAAATAACTAGCTATATGGAAAATACGCAGTTAGCCATACAAGAACTACGTAAAAAAAAAAAAAAAAATATTTGTTAATTTTTTCGTTTCTTTTTATAAAAATGAAATACGTAAAAAAAAATATATCCTTTTTTTTGAGAAAAAAGAGATTTAATGGTCAAAAAAATAATGTTCTAAAAAAATAAGAAGTTTTTTTTTTTTTTTTTTTTTTTTTTTTTTTTTTTTTTTTTTTTTTTTTTTTTTTTTTTTTTTTTTTTTTTTCTCATCTTCACTTTCTTTTTCATTTTTAATGTTTGTAATATTTTTTTCTCTATCTTCTAAATCACTTTCATCTTTTTTCTTAGTAGAATATTCAATACTTTTTTGAAAATGTTTTTCGTAAAGATCTTTTTTTATGAATTTTCTTTTAATCTTTTTAATTTTGAATTTTTCACTTTTAATTCTCTTTTTTTTGTCTTTATTTATTTTTTCCTTAACCTTTTTATCTTTTTTATAGTCACATAATTGCTTAAAATTTATTTTATTATTATCCTCCTTTTTATTCTCCTTAAATTTTTTTACTTCTTCATTTGAATTTTTTCTTTTTTTTTTTTTTTTTTTTTAAATATTAATTACGTGAAAATTTTATTATTATATATATAAAATTTTCTCTTACAAAATTAATTTAATTTTGCATCATTAAAAAAAAAATCTTTTTTTTTTTGTGTGAATGACCAACTATGTATTCTTCATATAATTAGTCCTTTTATTTTCCAAAAAGGTTAATAAAGCCTTTTGTTAACCACTATTCAAATATTTCTCATTAATTCAATCTATTTCAAATTAGTTTAATTTTCAACTTAAAAATAATATCATACCTTCTATCCATTGCTATGCCCTTAATTTCATTTTCTTTATCCCCAATTATTTTACTTTTACATGCTTATTCCAAATAGCGATCACATTATAATTATTACATCGTTTCTTGCTTTGTATACAAATATTCCTATTATGATTCTTCTCTACACATTAATAACATTTACTTAATAACTTATTCCCAATAACATCAACTTCCTATTCTCATTATCTATTTTATATGTATCTATTTCCTATGACCTATTTTAATTACCACCATAGATACCATATTTCTTAAACTATTTGTAAATTCCCTAAATGTTTCATTATGAGATACATTTTCTATCATTCTATTTTTGACAATAACTGAAATATGTCCTTTTAGAACTATCTAAGGATCTATAGTTAGAAAGGCATTAGATTTTTTCATGCATAATCAACTTTTAGTATATATAAGGTTAATAAAAGGCTTTATTAACCTTTTTGGAAAATAAAAGGATTAGTTAAATGAAGAATACGAAGTTGGTCATGCACACACACAAAAAAAAAATATTGATGATTTCTTTTTTGTTTGTAATTTTTTTTTTAAAAAAAAGGTACAAAGATTGTAAGGAAAAAAATTTGATAAAAAAAAAGGCAAAAATCGTCAGGAAAAAAATTGATTAAAAAATCAATTTCTTAAAATATTTGTTACTAATAAATAAATAAAAAAAAAAAAAGAAAAAGAATAGAATTTTTTTTTTAGGAAACGAAATAGTTTTTATGATGAATTTTATAAAAGAAAATTTTATACAAAATAAATTTTTTTGAATTAAAAAAGAAAATAAAGGAAAAAAATATATATCTTAAAAATTATTGCACCTATTTTTTATTAAATCTATTTACACTTATTACATTTCACTTGATTTTTAACATAACTATCATAATTAGAATTTAAGTTAAAATTATTATATATGTAATATATATAATTTAATAAATATATTATAAATTTTTNAAAATTATTGAAGAGGAACTAAATATATGAACAAATCAATTCCATTAACAAAAAAATATTCTCTATGAGTTAATTTTAATTAACAACAAAATTAATTTTTCACAATTAATAATAACAAAAAAAAAAAGTAATAAATTTTTTTTTTTTAAGTAGCTAGTGTTCGTTGCTCTATTATTTTTCATGTAAGTTATTTACTATTTCAAAAAGGGAAAAAATACTTTTAACCTATCCTTAATAAAGTAATTAAACAGACAATTAATAAATCAATAATATAATAAGAAAAATATATCTAAGTTCACATTTAGGGATAAAGATAACACTAAGGAGAAGCTACAAATATATTATTACGACTAAATATGAAAGAATATTCATAAAATTGTTCCGAATACAAACTATAAAACTTTAGACATTATTTAAAACATTATTTGGAGTATGAAATAATCCAGGAAAACATATTTATTTAAATATAAAATAAATGAAACATTTTTATGATAATAAAAATATCTACACATTTTTTTATATAAAAGAAATATTAAAATTACTTAGCTTACATAGACATAATCTAATATATATAAAATTTGAATAAAGAAACATTACAGAAAATAATACAAGAAAATTTATTTATACCAATTTAATATTTATTTGATCTTATGTTGGTTACCTACTTACACAAAAATTAATTATTTCTTATAATTCCATGATTATATTTTTCATCACTATCTATTTTCATCTATATAAGGAAATATATTTCTATATTTATGTCCAAATGCTCTAAGAAAACTATTTAATCTACTTCTCTTTGGTTTCATTTCTTCTTTTTCCATTGAACTTTCAGATGGATCTTCAATGTTATCCAATGAAGTTTCACGTAATCTTTTTCTTCCTTTTTCTTTTTGTAGATTACCCCTTCCTAGTAACGATCCAATACGAGTATACTATAAGAAAAATTAAAGTTAAAAAGTCTAATAGTTTGTTATATAATATGATGTTAATTTATACAAATAAATGGAAAACAAAAAAAAATGATACACATATTTTCATGTGCTAGTTTTAGTTTACTTTATAAAGTAAAGTAAGGAATAATACTCCTCCGATAACAACAAGAGGAACAGATATACTAATAGAAGCTGTTGATCCACATAAAAATTCTGAACACGCATCATTTGTACTAATCTCAGTTCTAGGCGGTAATGTACTTATATCACCTAAAATTTTAGTTATAACTTTACCTATTGGTGTAGTTTCTATTTCATCTATAGAAGCATTCAAAGAAATATTGCTTGAAATATTAGATAAAGTCCCTGTTATTAATGATGAACTTGTGGATAATGAATCAGATGTGGTTGGCAAGACAGGTGTAGTCAATAAATCACTACTATTTTTAGTTTGATCAGTTGACATAGTATAGTTAGTAAATGATTCCATTGTAAAATTTGTAATTGCATTTGTCATTTGTCTCCAAACGCTCAAAGTATCATTTAAAAATTTTTTTTTCCCAATATCTGAATTTAAATTCAAATCTTTTATAACCAACCTACTTCTATTATACATCCAATCAGTAATGTTATTGATATTTTCCCTTGTAATTTTACAAGAAAAATTATCTAGGATATAAGAAAAATAATCATTAACAATGTCTTTTAAATATTTCCAAACACTCCAAGCATTGTTTAATATGCCCTTATCTTTAATATCTGAATTACGATTTAATGAAAATGCCATTTCCATAGTTTTATTACTCATCCAATTAATCAAACTATCAGTATTATTACACGTGAAATTATTTTGATTTTTTTCTATCTGCGTAAGTAAATCACCTTGCAATGATTCAAGCCATGTTGTCAAATTTTCCCCACTTCTGCATAGGTATCTGGTTTCTGTAGTCAACAAACATGACTGTGCTTCTGCTAATAATCTTCCAATTCTGAGCTGTGATACCTTCTTTAAATTGTTTTCTTTAATTTCAAAGCTAAAGAAAATAAATTACAATAAAAGATATAAATGGAAATAACCAATATCACTTTTAACTAAATATATATTTACAAAAAGTAAAAATATAAACATTTTTAATAATAAGAAGTACCTCATATAGCAAAAATATTGAAATATCCAAACTAAAATAAAAAGACAGAGAATCATCATTGAATGATGGTGTGTTTTCATTTTTCAAATTTTCAAAAGTTATTTTATATTAAATTCAGATAGTTTTTATGAAATGGCATTTGATTTAAATTAATTATATTATTAATATATTTTTTTCGTTCTATTTAAATTAATACTAATTATTTTTTATATACACTATATTTAGTTATTATTTCCCAAAATTTTAAAATGTGAAGTAATTATTGATTATATTATACAATCATAATATTATTTCGAATTAGCTATACGATTTGAAAAAAAATTTTAGGAGAAAATTTTTAATTTTTTAAAAAAAAAATAGTAAAATTAGTTAAATTAATAGTAAAATAAAAATGAAAATAATAAAAAAAATATTATTGTTATATATATTAATTAAATTACGTTAAACTTAAAGTATCTACAATAAATATGTAGATATTTAATAATTCAAAAAAAATTAACCACTAAAACACCAATAATTTAGTACTAAATAAAAATTATTGAATTTAATTATTTATATAAAAATAGGAATTTAAAAATTTGAACATTGAATTTTTCTAATAAGTATTTGTAATTTTTAAATAAATAATCTTAAAATACAATATAACTTATTAATTTAATGAATAATAATTTTTTTTCAATTATTTTTATTAAAAAAATTTATTGCAGAAGTGTTTTTAAAAAGGCTCATATTAATATATAACATAGAAAAAACTAAACTATATAAAAAATTATATTTAATATTGATTTAATAATAAAAAAATCTATTATATTTATTCTTAATTTTTTGTATATTTTTAATAAATTAAATAAAAAGGAAAGTTCTACAAAAAATGTTTTATAAAATAAGAAAAATAAAGAATAAAAATAATAATATTTTAATACATAATAAAGAAAAATAATAATGAAAAATAAAAGGAAAGAAAAACTTAATAATATTAAAATAATAAAAAGGATAACTCACCTTATAGATACTATAGTAATTAAAAAAAGATATTTGTGCAATATAGTTTAAATATCTTAAATTTTTTAATTTGAGCTTTTATTATATTTATTGTATTATCAATTATAATTTTATTATAATGACATTGCCAAAATTTTGTAAGACGATATTTGAACAATTGTAAAAAAAATCAATATGAAGTAAAATTTTGTTCAATTTTTTTCTAACAATACATATGAAATAGAAGGAAAGATAATAGAGAATTAAAACATAGATAAATACTAAAAGTAATGTAATTTATTAGAATATAGTTTTCGTCAACAAAAAATTCAATGAATAAAATTTTACATTTATACTTGCTTAAAAAAAAATAATACAAAATAAATAATGACGACTTTAATAATAATAATTTTACAAAAGAAATAATATAATAATAATTTTTTCATGTAATTTGAATATTTATAATGAAAAAAATAACATATTTAAAATGAATTTATTTGCATGCGAGTTTATTATTATACATGTAAATAATGGTTCATTATTAAAAACTAGATAGAAAATAAAATCATTAATTATGAATGAAGTAATGAATAATTTTCATGTACATAAATTATGAAATTCAATAATATAATGTAATCGCTATTTTTTTAATTATGAAGTTAGCAGCAGAATTAATAAAAAGAAATAATCTAGAGGAATATATTCTTTTTGTTGATTACTTTTATAAAAATACAATTAAATATATTTAAATATTTAAAAATAAATTAAAATCAAATTAAAATTTTTTTAAATAAAATATTTTTATAAGTGTAGTTATAAAAAAAAAAAAAAAAAAATGAACGTTAATATTTTTAATGTATATTTAAAGATGAAAAAATATATTCATTAAATTATAAAAAAGCATGCAGATTTAAGTATTACACATATCTTTATTTAATGAATTTTTTAGTAGTTAATATGATATTTTCAGAATATTTTATTATAGAAATGATATTTTACAAGTTTTTGAAAATTACTCTCAATAGTTAACAAAAGGGCTATTAACTTCTTTTTCAGGTTCTTAAAAGTATATGAAGAGAAAAATAAGTCATACTCATATTCATCTATTTTGTTAATGCACTAAATATTAAGATAGACAAAAAAGTCTCAACGAGACACAGATATAATTTTTTTTTATTAAATGATTTTTTTTTTTTTTTTACAATATTCTTTCTTCTTTAATTAATAAATGTAGCAATGAATTATTTTTATACCATGAAAAAAAATTAAAATATAAAATCATTGTATTTTTACTTGCTAGAAATTTTATTAAATTTTTTTTTTTGTTATTCTAATGCTGTACATGAGAGAGTGCATGGGTATTTTATCCAACTAATAATTAAAATTAACTTTTAAATTTTTTATAAAAATATAACACTTACAATTTAGCATATAATTTTTATCGATAACTTCAATGTAACTTTGTTAAATCTTGACAATTTGTGTATTTACTAGGTTACAATGGTCTTAATTCCAAAAATTTATTTAAAATTGTTAATTTGCAATATCAATTTTGATGAATTATATGAATTTTTGATTGATAATGATGATTCTAAAGTCAAATACCTAATGAATTACCTAAATCATAAATTGTGACATCAGAATATTATTCTAATTTTTTTGCTAGTTTTAGGAGCAAGTTGTAGTTGTAAATATTATCCAAAAGAGATACATGAATGATACATCATTCTTTGTAATATACTTCTTAAAAATAATTCTATTTAAATCTTTATTCATTAATAAAGAAGAAATGTTTTTACAAAATAAAAAAGTTTATAATTACTGAACGGAATTCCAATATTTTAAAAGAAGAAAATTACTTAATTATGAATTTTGAGTAGTACGTTAAGAATTATGTATGCTTTGAGTATATACAGTAGTTTAATTACTATATATATTTGGAGCATTTATAATAAGTGTATATCAAATAATATTTTAAATAAATATCTTTAAATTTTCCAAAGAAAGAAATTTAAAAATTATTAGAAATTCATAATGTTAATACAACTAATAGCTAATACATAGAGTACATCAAAGAAGCCAAAACATATGGAATAAATAAAATTAATATGTATATGTTATTAATAATGTAATTCAATTTTCTAAAAAATGTTTTGTGTTAGAATTTATACCCACATAAAAATTGTATAAATCTTTAAGGAAAATGTGTCCATTGGAACATCACTGATCATCTATCTCTTTATACATAAATAGAATAATGTTATATAAATGATAGGAATTTATTTAATAAAAGGTATTATTAGCCTTTTTGATAGTAAAATATAATAGATGTATGGAAATAAATAGTTAGCCATGCACGAGTTATATAAAAAAAAAAAAAATTAGTTGTTTATTTTTTTTGTTTTCTTTTTGTAAATTTTAAAAGAAATAAAAGAAAATATTTTTTTTTTTTTTGAAATTTTGAGTGATGAAAAAAATTAAGAATTATGTTTGTTGAATAAAAAGTTTTTGATAGTATATTTTGTTTGAATTTATATAAGAAAATTTTATGTACATAATAATAAAGTTTTCATATTTGTAATATTTCTATAACTTAATTTATATTTCATTAATTATTTATGTTGAAAACAATGGACTTCATCTTCTAAACATTATTCATAATACTATAAGTAAAATACAATTAATTAAGAATCATTGATCATCGATAATTTAAATTATTTATGAATATGGGGATTTATACTAAAGTAAATAATCGCTTCTTGTAAATAAAGAATTTTCAACGAAGTAATCTACATAAATGCAGTTTACTTGTTTTATATCATTTAAAATTTTACATAAATTTATTAAATTAATAAAGGAAATTCTACATGCTCTCTACTAATTTGTTTGTTCAACAATCTGGAAAAGTCATTCAATAGACAACTAATAAATCAAAATTAAAGGTATTGTATCAAGTAATAGATACCTGATTTATCAACTGGGTGTTCGGTAACTTTACTAGAGTACTGAACAAACAAATTAATAAAGAGCATGTAAAGGTGTCTCTACGATTTTGTTGTATTTATATATATTTTTATATGCTTTGAAAGAGTAATTCTTAATTATATGCTCTACTTCGTTCAGTATTCTTTACTTTCAATAGGCATTTATTTACTTTAATAAATATCCCTATTTTTATTAAAAATTTAAATCCTTATTGAACATTGATTATTAATTAAATGTTAATTATTTGTTTCTTTGTTATGAGTTGCATTCAGCAATTAATACATATTGCTGTTGAATTAACAAACATTAAGAATTATTGACAATACAAAAAATTTTATAAATATTAATTACATGAATATTTTATTGTTATATGTATAAATTTTTCTTTTACAAAATTCATCAAAATCATATTTCATTCCCAAAAAAAAAAATTCTTTTTTTTTTTTTTTTTTTTTTTTATTTATTGGTAACGAATCCTTTTCCAATTAATTTTTTTTTTTTTTATCTTTTTTTTTTCCTGACGGTTTTTGGATTTTTTATTTAAAAAAAAAGTACACACAAAAAAAATTGATCATGTGTTTTTTTTTTTTTCTGTGTGTGCATGACCAACATCGTATTCTTCATATAACTATTCCTTTTATTTTCCGAAAAGGTTAATAAAGCCTTTTATTAACCAATAATATATAAAAAAAAAAAAAAAAAAAAAATAGAAAAAAAGTAATTCATATAAATTTGATAAAATTTTAAGAAAAAAGTTATATATATAAAAAGATGAAGTATGAAAAAATCTGAAAGAAATATTAATATAACAAATATATATTGAATGAAAAGTTAAAATAAATTTACAGAAAATTTAATGAAATTTTGTTGTGGTTTTTATATTATTAATTTGTTAATTGCTTATTCAATGACTTTGTTAGAGTATTTAAGAAACATATTAATAATGAACACGCGAAGTTTCTTAAAGTTGCTTTTATTAATTTAATGAAATTAAATATAATTTTAATTCTATAAACCATTAAAATTTTTTATATATAATCTACATTATGAGCAATTATTGTTTCTAAGAGGCATTTATTTATTTTTATAAAAGTCCCGTATTTTAATCAAGGATTTAAATCTTCATTAATTAGTGATTTTAATAACATATATTTTACTTATAATGTTATAAGTAATATATAACAGTGCAAATTCATTACTCTCAAATTAATAATTATAAACAACTAACAGAATGCAAATTAAATTATATAAATATAACAAACACGAAAAATTTATTATCTTAGTACAAAATTTTTTCATAAAAATTCAAAAAAAATCTATTACAAAGAAAATTTTTAGTCAGTAACTTTTTCTTTTATCATTCGATCAATTAAATTATTTTCAAAAAAATGAATAAATATATATTTTATGTATTTTAAATTACAAGAAGAAAAAAAAAAAATATTAACTAATTTTTTTTTTTATCTATCACTTACATGGTGGTTTATTAACTGGGTGTTCGGTGACTTTACTGGAGTACTGAACAGACCAATTAATAAAGAGCATGTAGAAGTGTCTCTACGATTTTGTCGTATTTATATGTATCTTTAATATGCTTTGAACGAGTAACTCTTAACTATGTGCTCTACTTCGTTTAGGATTCTTTGATTTCAATAGACATTTATTTACTTTAATAAAAATCCTTATTTTTATTAAAAATTTAAATTCTTATTGAATATTGATTATTATTTAATTGTAATTTATTTATTTCATTGTTATAAGTTATGTTCAGCAATTTATATATATTGCTGTTGAATTAACAAACATACACATTTAGTAAAAATGCAAAATAACTATACGAATATTAATTACGTGAAAATTTTATTGTCATATGTATAAAATTTTCTCTCACAAATGAAAAATATAAAAATTATGCATTTAAACTCTTATATGTAAACATTATTATTTCTTTAAGATCTCATTTTTACTGGTGCTAAATATTACTCTCGATTTTTCTTTTTTTTTACCAATCTTTTCTTTCAATTAAATCATTTAAAAAAAAATAAATATATTTCTTTTTTTTTACGTATCTCCATTTATTAAATGAAAAATATGTCCAAAAAAAAATTCAATAATTTTTTTTTTTTTTTTTTTCGAGTACGCACAACCAACTAAGTATTCTTCATATAGCTAGTCCTACTTATTACCAAAAAGGTTAATGAAACATTTTATTAACCAGTGCATGACCAACTATGTATTCTTCATATAACTAGTCCTTTTCTTTTCCGAAAAGGTTAATAAAGCCTTTTATTAACCAAGTATTGAACATAAAAAGTAATAAAAAACATGTAGATTAGTATCTTCTAATTTTAACTATTGCAAAAATTAATTAATTCCTCAATTAATTAAATTTTATAGAAGTAGATCACACAATTGAGATACTATAATTTTAGAGACACATATTTACTTAAGAAAAAGTTCTCATTTTTTTCAAAAATTTAAATACTCATTAAAACTACTTGTTATGAATAAAATAAATTTTTAAAATGAACTAGCAAATTTAAATTAAAGTTATTAACAAGATTTCAAAAGCGTATAGTTAAATTCTAATAATATGAAAATTTTTTCTATACTAGTTTTAAACATCAAATTTTATATCTAATTGACCCAAAATTAATTAAATTAATAAAAATTAAATTCTACACAGATAACTTATTTAGATACCAGAACTAATATTTACATCAAATTATCATCTAAAAAATAAGTAATATAATATTATAAAAAAATACTCAACAAAAAAAATAATTTACAGAATTAAAAAAAAAAATAATGAATTTTTAATTTTTTTTTAACTAGAAAATATACATGGATAACTTGTTATTTTCTGTATAAGTTGTTAATTATGACTTTTAAAGATTAATAATGTCTTTTATTTACTACAATTGTAAGAAAAAGGATGATATATTTAATATATGAAATATATAATTGTATAATATTATATTAATTATAGTTTCTTTTAATTAACATAAAATGTTAATAAAGGAAGTAGTTATTTATAAAAATATCTAACTTATGTTATTCTATAATTTTTATAATTAAATAATATTTATGTAAAAATTTTGATAAAATAAATATATTAAAAATAATAAGAAAAAAAAATGTTTGCATTACCACAACTTTTTCCTTCGAATACCAATAAAATACTATTAAAAATAAAATAAAGGAAAATTTATAAAACTTTTTATGGTTAAATTTAATTCTATGGAAAAAATATGTGCATGTTCTAATGAAAAAAAATTAATAATTAGCATATCTTTTTTCAGATGTTTATTACTAAATTAACAGTTCAATTAAAAATAATACATAAAACATAAATATAATTCATAGCAAAGCATATAATTACGTAGAAAATAAACGAAATACATTTTTTGTAATAAAAAAGAACTATATACTTCATTTTTATAATTATTTTCCTTAAAATGGAAAAAATTAAAATTAAGTATCTTGAAATGTACTGTTTCATTTAATAGTAATGTATTATTAATATAAATATATATATATGAAAGAATCAAAAGAAAATGCGATAAATAAGATTATGTACTATAATGAACAATAAATGTCAGAACATACTAAGAAAAAATTTAAACTTTTTTGAAATAAAATCCTTTAATTATATCTATTTATTATACAACCATTCTATATTATATATATACCTGCGTAAGAATTTATATTATGTTTGATTTCATATTATTGTTTCTTTTCCTCAAACTGGGTCTATATCAGGAAGTTCTGAGTTCTCATGAATATTATAACCATTGTCCATTTTATGCATTCTCCTTTTTCCCTTTTCTTTTTTTGGATTATTTTCCCCTAACACTGATCTGATATGAGTATGCTGCTGAAGAAATTAGAAATTAGGAGAAAATCTTTTTTATATATATACAATTGTAATTTTAAGGAGTAATTTTTAAAAAAAAAAATATATAAATATTTTTCATTGTTAATTTTATCTTACATTGTAAAGGTATATAAAAAACAATAACCTTCCAACAACAACAAGCGGAATATATAAAGCAATAAAATTTTTTGGATTACAGAAAAACCAAAAACATTCTTTATATAAATTACTATGTTCTACGGGCATTAATAAAGATGAATTATTCTCAGATGTAATTATAGTTTCAGTTTCAATTGAAGGTGTTAATGTAAGTAATTTCTTAAATAGACTTGTAGATATAGAAGAAATGTTTGTTACTATTTCAGATAAATTATTATTTACTAACGAAGAAATTGCTGATGTAGCAGGTGTGATTGATGAGGAGTATGTGGATGATGAAGTAGTCGAAGAGAGTGGAGTAAACTTGGATGATAATACAGGTATAATATGTGGTTCATTATTAGAAATCCTACCATTTAACATTACCTCATAAATACTAAAAACTTTGGTATACAAGATAAAATCTTCTGCTAATTTACTCCATAGATAAACAAAATTATTTAAATTAGATTTATTATTAGGTTCTGGATGAGTATTTAATGCTCTCACAATATCAATATTTTTGTTACTCATCCAAGTAGTATATTCTACAGTATTATCTCCTGTGAAATTACTTGATAATTTTCCCGACATACCAAATAGAACTTCCTGAGTAAATTCAGGTAATTCAACAAGTATATCTGGCTTATCACTACTTGATCTAACTGTTCTAATTATTTGACTTAGTTGTTGTTCTGTTAATACTCTTGCACCTATCAAATTTGATACTATATTTAAATTTTTATTGCTAATTTCAAAACTACAGAAGTTATATTAAATAAAAAAATTAAATTAAATTTATGATAATTATTTTTTATATGTAAATATGAATTTAAAAAAATAAAAATTACAAATTTTCTAAAGTACATATTACCTTTTGTTACAAAAATATTGGAATATCAAAATTAAAAAAAAAAAAATATAAACAATCACTCCTGAATAACTAAACATTTTTATTTTTATTATTTTGGTATATTATTCTGGAATTTATGTAAATAGGAAAAATGGTTCGTGATTTAATAATAACTATGTCAATATTTTTTTTTGTATTATTTTTTGAGTAATTATAACAATATATTATATATTTTTGGGATTAATATTTTTAAATTCAAATTTTCAAATATTAATCACATTATAATAATATATAATAATAATGGTCATTAATATTTATTAGAATATAATATATAATTCTAAAATAATTTTCTCTTAAAAATAATAGAACAAAAATAAAGTTATTCAATATAAGTATATTGGAAATATATGAAAGAGGCTGGGGAATTATTTGATATCATGGGAAATTATGTCAAAGATGAATGTCTTCAGACATTTGGTAGGCCATAAATTAGCACATTTTAATTGATCTTAAGTCTGATGTCATCCAGCAACTAATAAAACAATAATGCTCTTATTGTTGAATGACATAAGATACAAGAAAAAGAAATAAAGTGAGGTTTTGTTTTGTTTTGTTTTTTTGTTTGTTTTTTATTATTCATCCGGAACCTCCTGTCTATGGATAATTTGAGTTAATTTGGTAATAACAAGCCATATGTAGTGAATCATAGACTGATGGATGAAGATCAGCCAGATAAATATGTGTTCCATCATTGAATGTCTACTTTTAAGCTATTACTTATAAGTTATTGTAGGAAATAGGATATAGCTCCTCAATAAATTCTCTAAACTGTAAGATGAAAGCTCTTTTTTTACTATTATTTCATTTACATTTTTAAAAAAAACATAGTACAAAATTTTGTTTTTTAATTTTTCCTAAAAAAAAAGAAAGAACATAAAATTTAATATGTTTAATGAGCACATATTTTTATTTGTCTTTTCATTTTTTATATATTAAA